CCCCAAAACCCCAAAACCCCAAAACCCCAAAGTGATGGTGGGTAATAGAAATAAATGGTGGAAATGGAGGGAGGGTTTAGGGTGATAGAGGGAAAGAGAGGGGTGAAATGTAGGTTATTGGAATAAGAATAGTGAGATTGGGATGAGATAAAATATCTTTGGAAATTTGTACTCAATATTAGTTACGTTTTGGAGAGGAATCATTAACTTTTGAAATTTCCCCTCCAGAAATATTTCCGTGATTCCATTAATGCTAATTACTCCCGTAGTGATTTCCATACCAAAAATACTCTATTTCCTCTTCCAAGCATTCTAACCCCCTCTAGCACTAACGAACCTGTCATCCACCTACACAAACTCCATGTACTCAGTCATTTCCCAAAACTGTTCCTAAATAAGTCCTGGAAATTCTGACTAAAATACCACTCCCATTACTCTTTATGGCATGACTCTCGTTGTGCACAGCTTTTTGCTGTAAGGCTGCAGAGGAGCTTGAAGTTCACTTCTAAAGATTTCTCGTAATTATTTAAGGTCTTCCTACTGAAAGTTCAGGTTTTGGAAATCTCTTCTTCCGTATACAAACTTTTTCAAGAATCTTTTAATGGTGGCTACTATACTTCGATCCGTTCTAAAGAATTCGCTCGGCTAATATGGAGTCCTTTCAGGATTATTAGAGTTATTGCTGTGTTCAAGTCCTTCTTTGCTCTGTCTTGTAGTCATGGGAATACTCAACTAAGCAATCCTCAGATATTTCAAATGAGCATGCTTCATCAGATTTAGGTGAAGAATCCTAACTTTTTTGAACTTAGTCGTATTCAGAACCATCATAATGTAGTCTCTTTGTAAAATATGTAATCTTTTGATAAGTCCAAAAGAACTTTAGAGACACTTGCCTATCTTTTGATTCAAATGAAGTATTTGAGTTACAGATTTGGGCCTGCTATTGATATAAGACAGATGTTGGATGACATCCATTTAAAAACTATAAGAGAGCTCAATGAACTAATCAGAGGCTGAAAAGCAAACTTTAAAGCTAGTAAACAATTCCCTCCCCTAACTGTGCAATATTTGTGTTGATAGCTTCTGGTAGATCTTTCTGTATAATTTTGTTGCAAATTTTAGTTATTTTTATGGCCTAGCTGTTCATTCAAGAGTGTTTTGTTGACTCTTTCAGTCAAGAGAAGCTTGTAAAACTTCTATGAGGTTTATACCAATCCTTTATTGTCTACCTCATTATCTCAATGCTTCTAAAGCATAAAGGAAGGATCACTTTGTGAATGAATCAACTAAACCAACTTTTCATAAAAATTTCATATTTTCCTAATTTAGTATGCTAAAACTTAGGTGAATACCCTTTTAAAGTGCTCAAAGACTAAGTTGAAGAGCATCAATTCTTTTGGCTTTAAAACTCTCTTCCAAAGAGCATAATAATATTTACCTCAAAATCCTGACGAATTGAGGCCCATACTAAAATATCGGTTTAAACTCTAAAACGGACGAGTAATTGAGATCATCCCAAAATAGGATTCTGTTGCAGTAAGAATTAAGCGTCAGGGAGCTTACTATCTTAGCAGAATTTCTTCCAGAGACTCTTCTTTATAGTAGTCTTATAACTTGAGTAAGGAAAAATATCAAATATTTACTTGAAGCAGCTTATGAAGTCTATTACTTACTGAAAAGAGCCAATAATAGATTCGCATGATATTTTTAACTCTTAATTCATCGATTTTTACTCTGCTAATGCAAATTATTCGGCCTTCTATATAAGAGTTGTCACCATAAAACTTTTGAAGAAATTATGTGGTTGTCTGTATAAATATTCATGAAGCCCATATTGGAGAACACCAAATCTTTGGATCTAAACTAGCTGCCTAAACATCATTAAGACTTCATGGCTGCAATTACAGCAAAGAGGTGTAGAATTGAGTCTATAGAGAGGCTTGAAGAATAGAATTCTTCTAATCGTACCTGAGATACAACAAAAGTTCTTTCTTATCATCGTATTTTATTTAATCGATGTTATTGATATATGATAAAGCTTAGCAAAATCTACAAAGACAGGTGATTCTCAAGAATTGGCTAAGCAAATGTTTATTATAGTTAGAAATTACTCCATCGGCTGCACAGTAATCCCTGGCCTTGAGAAATTCTACAGAATTCCATTCATCGTTCTTTCCACCTTTATTAAGTTTCATGAGTTGTCTACTTTCATAGGCTACTTATCTGAAGGCTCTTGATTCTTGAGCTATTGAGAGAGTTACAAGCTCCTTATCATTCCTAATAAATTCCAGCTGCATGTGGCAATAGAAAGATCTTTCTGGGATTCAAAATTTGTTCTAACCTCTCTTGAAAGCTTTATTTGTACTAATTCAATAGAAATAAACTGATTTGATAAATTTAAAGTTCAGGAATCTCTTGTAGTAAGAATATGAGTCTAATGGCCACACACAGTTAGAAATGAAGGTTCGCCTTCTCCAAATACATCAATGATATAATGTGGGTCACTGAAGAATGAAATCGGATTACCTTGGATGGGCCCATTTATGTTTCAGATTCGCTAGTCTACCAATTTTTCATAAATATTATTATTTTTTAGAACTAAAAATCTTTCTGCGATAGTTCCCTGGCTTTCTTGGCCAAAGTTATAGAGATATGAAGGTCAACCTTTACAAATATTTTGATACTTTTCTAATTATAAATCTCGGTTTATATCAAAAGTGGTCTTGAGAGAAATTTTGATGAAAATGTATGCAACATAAAATTGCTATAAATACGATAGACTTCTCAAAGAGTTGGCTATGCTTTCATTTGCCCTTGCACAAAATGGCAAAAGTTAAGATATATTAAACTATTCAGTCTATAACCGATGAATTGCTCTATCTTTAATTGAGGCGGTGTTATTAACAAACTTTATATAAGCCATTTCTTATGAGCTATCAGTTCTGTTTCAGTATAATAAGCTTTCAGAGGTCTTATGACAAATTCCTATTATTCAAAATTATTAAAGAGAGCTCTTACTTACATTTCCAAATTTTCACTCTTTTTCTTGAAACTTCAAAGCTTAGCTGAATTCAGCTGATGATAGACCAGGGGTGATAAATTAGTATTCATGGCAAACTAAGGATTCTCGCGTTATCCCTCTTCCAACTAAAACGAAAATTACACGTTTTGGTGATTTTGAAAATTAGTTTAAAATATGACCTGAGACTACCATTTTGGGTCAGCAACAAAATTATTAAAGAAGCCTGAGACTTTGTTTAGAGTCTTCGAAGCTCCAGTGAATAAAGTACAGCATTGTCTATAAGTTTTTGTATCTGAACTCTCTATTCTAAACAAATCCATAAATAGAGTAAGTTTGTAAATGAATTTTTCGAAGTAATTAAACTGACTAGGAGAAGCATGTATATTTCCAAACACAATGATGCTTCGGCATCGGCATCTCCAACCATAGACTAGCCCTAAGCCACAGATTATTTTTGAGTCTCAATTTATGCTAAGCACTTGCTTCTTTAAACAAAGCCCCCTAGTTTTGTGTAAAATATTCCTCAGAATTGGAATCTCTTTAATCTTTCTATTAACAGGAAGGTAATGAAGTGTCTAACTGAAGCTTTAACAACAAATTAAGTTAATTATTGATCTCTGTGCTCATGCCTTTGACATCCTGGGGGACAATAACTCCTTCAATTTACTGAAATGCTCTCATGTTTCTATATGAAATTATTAGTTCTTATGAAATAAGAAGCTTCATACAAAGTCAAAGAAAATTATTGGTTTGAAGATATAAGATGTACAAAATGATCCTAGATCTCATTATTATACAGAGACTGTTATGCCAGTGAATATTTACTGGAGATGGGTCAAATGTTCTGGCTAAGCAAGTATCTCTTATATCAAAGAGCTACAAAGTCTGAAACTTTAGTTCAGAGATTAAAAACTAATTCTTCTATAAATTTCACCCATATTAGTTAAAACTTAATAATGGAAAAGTTCAAACCTATCGAGTTCATTTTTCATCAAAATCCCACTTTGATTACCAGAGGGACTCTTACTTTTCAAATTGTGGATACTTTTATGGTTAAAAATTAGGAGGCTTAGCCCCCAGATTGATGCTCTAATTGCAGCTTTGAGTATCCTCTTGAAGTACGACCCAAATAGCTCAATACTCGACCAGAATTGAAGACCTGATATTGAGCAAATACTAATTCAGTAAGAACTTAAAAAATTACCAACTAGTGGGATTTCCTCCTAAGCCTAAGTTTCAATTTGGTTTTCTCTAATAGCTCCTGCTTAGCCTCTATTAGCGAAGAGCTTTAAATTAAAAATTAGTAAATAATTGACATACAAGTTAATAATTAGTACCCAAGTTCTTAGGTTCAAAAAACTCCAAAACGTGCAAAAGATGTATATCAACTGAACCAACGGCAAGCATAGATACTAGAGAGCAAATTCATAATTGGAACTCGATGGCCTCTCTTTAGCAAAATTAGCGAAGTGGTAGGCTTATCTCTGAGAGTCATACGTGATGATAGACTAATCTCTGTCACGGTTAAGAATTACCTTATATAATCTGCAAAACTTCTTGCTTCGTGTAAGAAAAGTTGGTCTTAGCCTGAAAATTAATTTGAATGCTTACTTTTCGCCCATGGAAGTTAATTGCTAGCTTGTCATAGATAGCTGCAGCTTCAAGTTTAGAACTGAAACACCCTACGTATTTCTTGCGTTTATCGATTACGATGTAGACTTGCCAAGACTCTCCATTTCGTGACACTCCTATAAACTTAGACCCTCTAAAGTTCGGTCGTATTCTGGTCTTCTTAGACTTGGGTCTAGTAGTGAACACGATATCACCTTCTCTGTGAGTGCTCATGAAACTACTGAAGAGCAGTTGCAAGGCTTCTTCACGAACACCAGGAAACTCTTTCTGAATTTTGTTCACTAGCTTTCTATTAGCGAAAGTCATCTGTTTAGCTTGCTGTTCTTCTGAGTCAAAAGGAGAGGCTTGAGTGGAAGGAGGACATCAACAATATTTGGTATAGAAGTCTCTGATTCTCTCTTCATCTGCGGTATATTTGTTTTCTTCCCTCTCAGAGACCTTGGCGAAGTCACTTGATTTTAAACCTCTTTCTTCATTGAGTTTCGAAACATTGCCAGTACTTCAAGGAGTAAATATTTTGGAGAATCTTTGATGATTGAAATGAGAAGTCTGTGCACGGAGAGACTGAGTGGCTTCCAACAAAATTGGCGTTGATTTTATTGAACTTGATGGTGGATGCTTGGCTATGTTTGAAGTAAGGCCCAATGCTTCTTTTCTGGTCTGTATGTAGATAATGATACCAATTAAGAATTTTATATGATTGATCAATAAAACAGTAAAGCAATGGACAAATCAAAATATCTTACTGTATACTCAGATGCAACATATTGGAGCTGGCTTATATTTTGATAAGGTCTTGTTCCAGAGTTCATTTAACAATATATTATTTTAATTATATCATTTCAATCCGATTATATCATAGTGGGGTTTTGGGGTTTTGGGGTTTTGGGG